GTGTCAAAACAAACATTGAAAGATCATAAAAGCAAGAAGAATTGCAAAACAATAAGCTTGATAAAGGCTCATGGCGTTGAGCGATACATCCTTGCTGCTGAACGCCATTCTTCTCGCAAAGCTGGGCGCTTAAGCGCCATCTTTGTGTCGCTGAACGCCAAACCTTTCACAAAGCTGGCGATTGAGCCCCGCTGGGCTACCACTCAACCTTATATCAAAAAATAACAACTTTATTTCTACGAATTTGGGGAACCAGAGACCTATTCAGATGACCAAATTGGTTTACCTGACTTAATGGAGAGTTCTAAAATAGGTTTTGATGTCAGATTGAACAACAATTTGCTTACTTAATTCAGAATCCTCACTTCTCCAATTCAAAACCAAACCAAACAAGATAAGCACAATCCAACATCACTTGCATCAATAACCTAATAATTCATATAACAAATTTCACGTATTTCAAATTAGATTTTAATGAACTAAATGACTAATTAAGTCCTAGTTGACACCAAAATAGACTTCAAACATCATGTTTCCTCATAACTCCACTCCTAGAATTTCACCGGTAACCCCATATTTTAGACTAGAAACAAACGAAAACTCTCACTTTTCATCCCATCAATATCTAATGGCAATTTCCATCCATATATATGATCAAATCCATTAACTCAAATGACCAAAACAAGTAACAATCAATAAAAACTCACAACAAGGCTATTCTAGTACCAAATAACACCCATTTAAACCAATTTCAATGCAATCATGCTATTTAATCTCAATGACTCAGTCAATTTATTCAAAATAGAGCACACCAATTCAAATTATCAAGTTCCTATAAATTTAAAAAACAAGGTATTTAGCTTCCCTTTATAGAGAATCCAACTACTCTACAAAAGCTAAGACGATTCCACCAATTCAAGAAACTTTATTTGCACTTACAACTCATAGAAACATGATCAGGGTATACTGGTAGAACCACTAATCATAAGAGAGTCTTATAGAAGGCTCATATAACACATGAAAAAACACTACAATTCGCATGCAAAGAAAGTAAAACATACCAAAGAAAGAGAGTAGAAAATAACCCACTCTTTTGAATAAATTAATCGGGTAAACTTGAAGATCTCGTTATTGGAATCACTCAGGTGATTTCTGATCCTCAAACAGATAAAGATAGGAGAAGAACTCTTAGAGAGAAGTCAAAGAACTCTAAGAAAAGTGATTTATAGAAAGATGTTATGTTTTAAAACAATGAAATAACAAAACTATTTATATTAAAATCATTTAATATTAAAATAGTTAAGTTTCACTATTTTAAAACTATTACCACTTCTACAATATATTTTTAGGTTTTTAGGTCTTTAAAATAGATATTAGTGCTTTTATATTATTAATATTAAATATTTTTACTTTTATTTATTTAAAGAAATATATTTTCTCAACATGAGTTATATATAAGATCATAAGTTTTACATTACTTCTTCGTAATAGTATAACTTAATGACATCAAATTAAAGACGATGACCAGTAAATAAACAAATTAAGTTTAGTTAGTTAGTTGATTTTTATATTTAGATTTTTATTTATTTATATGTATATTTATTTTTATTTAATTGAATATTAATATTTGTTGAATAAAGTGATTGTAGTTATTTCGTTAGTATTAATGTTGTTTGTGACGTGATCATATGTTAGAATAATAGAAAACTTAATTAATAATTTAGTTTTTATATTTATGTCTATAATTCATTTTTATTTTTTATATTTTGTTTTTGAAATTAATTAAGATTTTATATTGTTTAAATAAAAATAATGTGATCCATTCTATAAAATGTTATCCCTTTTCAAATCTTATTTTTTGAAGACATAATTCTACTAAATAGTCTTCTTCAAATATTGTCTCTTTCATATTCAATATTACAAATTTAATATCTTCATCATTTTCATTTGAAAAATATAAATTCAATTGAGTAAAAGAAAAAAATACAAGGATTAAAGTAGTAATTAAACATTTTATTGCACAATAATTTTTTAAATAATATTAATATCAATTTAAGATAATAAACAATTTTATTTAATAAATATTGAAACTCAATTAAATAAAAAATAAATATAAAAAACTAAAAAAAATCAAATATGTAAATATAAATATCAAATTACTTATTAAACTTAAATTACACTTCTTCTACAGTAATCAAATAAAACATTAATTTAAAAGTGGGTAAGAGCTTCTTATTTGAGTAAAAGTGTTAAAACTAATGTGACATAGTAATATCCATAAAGATGATGGAGATGACATGGAGGAGATTGGAGTTTTCACGGTGGAGAATAGAGGAGAAGATGAACTTTCTCAGGTTCTCTCTATTGTCGCGATTTGGATGGTTGATGGAAGAACGAAGGAATTCTCGCGGTGGTCCGAGGTTGCTCGCGGTGGTGCGTCAATGGAGGTGATGTGATTCACTATGGTTGCTGGACGGCGCTGGTTGTGTTCTTGAGCGTGGTTGAGGATGAATGAGGAGTTGATGGTGGCCTTGGATGGTTGCGCGAGGAATGATGATTTTGGTCGGCCAGCTATCGCTAACGAAGTTGGAGAAGAGACTGTTTCGGAAAAAAAGAAAAAGAAACCCTAGAGAAAAGAGGATTTGGGCCTGGCCTAGAAAATACAAAGTGTACTCCTAAATTTCATCTCTGCACTCATTCACTAACACGTCAGCATAAAATATATCTACAAAATAATACGTCTTGTGCCAGATCATCAATCTTTAACTCCGTTTATTTCTATTTAATGGAAGGGATAAAGTTGACATAAAATTTATCAAATGAGAACCAAGTTGACACTTTTTTAAAAACAGAGACCAAATTGACATAATCCAATAAAATTAGGGACAAAAGAGACTATTAAACCTAAAGAATATTAAGCCTAATAATAATACCATCTCACACGATACCAACAATTTAAGGTTGTTGCATATTTATTTAAATAATGTTATTTTTCCAAACAGTTTTATTAAAATAGTTTATTCCCCCTTAATATACTATTTTTAATAAGGAAAAATAATTGATACATAAGTCATTTCAGAATAAAGGTAGTGATTTAAAAAAAAAACAACATTTTTAGTAATATTATTTAGACTATTTTTTTTTATAAATATATTAGATTGATTTACAATACCACTTGATCACAATATATACAAAAGATAGTTCATTTGGTGTACATATAAAATATGTTAATCTTATAACATTCTTTCAATAAATCACCTAAGTTGCTCCAACACTAAAGCATACCATAAATCACTACGTAACATATTAACGTTTTTTTTTTAAATATAAAGACATAATATTTTTTTTCACTCATTTATAATCATTCACATTCTATTTTTCACTTATTTTTTCTTTTTTCTACCATTACTAAGTGAATATTAAACATAATTTTTTTTGTTGAAATGATTAATAATATATATTAAACAGAGTTTAATATTTATACACTCCGTATAAATATTATGAAAATAAACATGTAATACACTTATTACATAAATTAATCCGAGATGAAGTAAAATCTACACTCCTGAGTGCATAATTTATTTTTTCTATGGTTTTTAACAAAATACAGTATTTGTTTTATTTTTAATTAATTAATATCTTAGCGAATGAATAGGGGTGTGTGTGGAACATGGTTGGTGCATGAGGCACGTGACAAGAGATCACGTTCGCCACGCCCACGCGCACTTCCTGTGCTCGTGTTTACACTCCAAAGGAGATTTACTCGCTTTTCAACGGGATTTTCTCGTTGACTTTTCTTCTGTCATCAAAAGCAACACAAGTTCCAGTAACATCATCATTCAACATTATTTTTCTTTTATCTTTTTACAACCATAAATTCATTTTATTTATTTATATTTTAATTTCTCACAAATCCTATATTCCCAAATTGCCAAAATAGACCAAATCAAATTAATTTAAAAATGCAATGTAAAAATATTTAAATTGAAAAAACATCAGAATAATAAAAAGGCTGGGGCACGTGTCATTTCATTATTTGAAAAATGTACTAAAAACTGTATTTTAAAAAAAAATCTATTTAAATCTAATATATGCAGTTCAACTTAATTACTGTCAGGTTTCCTAATAATATATTTTTAATTATAAAATTGATGAGTGGTATTTCTTTCTCTAGATCATAATGTGAATAATTTAAAACATTTAATAGAAAAATGAAGATATTAACCACTCATAATCTCAAATAACAGTTGATAATTTGGTCTCTTAATTAAGCATTAATATAACGTTCCCTATGGCTTTGCCTTCTTCTTTAATATCTTTAATTATGACACTAACACACCAACTAAGCATAATAAAATAACATATTTATCGTATAATTTAAAAAAAAAATAATCAAGAGAGAGAAGGAGAAGTAATTCAAAAGGACAAAAACACACCCATTTTAAGTTAAATTATTTAAAAATTAATAAGTAATTATTTCTTTTCAATTTTTTACAATTTATTGCACAATGTAACATGTTGGACAGATGATTAATTAAATGTGGAACCTAAAAGTTTGTACATTTTAAAAAAGACATCTGTTGTATATGAAAAAAGATTTATTAAGACAGATAAACAGAAATTAATGATTTGGTTGTTTGAATGAACAGCAAAAGTATTTTAAGCCGTGTTTGTTTAGATTTTTACCAATTTTGGTAAAATATGTCTACAGCTTTTTTTAATAGACAGGTCCACAAGCACAGTGGCACAGTGCAACTCCCTCCAAACAGAGCACTTATGAAAGGTTTGAACTTTTTTTCTCCAACTTTCTTCAATAGTTTAACTATCACCCTCACTCACCTTCTAATACTTTATTAATATTAGGAAAAAGGAAAAGAAAAGGGAATCTCAAGATAATTTTATTTTTTATTATTATTCATCAAAAGCAACCCTTTATTTATTTATTTATTATTTGTTTATTTAAATATTTATTTATTTCATTTATCTATCACAATATTGGTTGGCCAAGGGAACAAAATAAGTCACTCCTCACTGCTACTTCTTCTTCTCAACACAAAAGAAAATTCATCTGTTCACTTTCTCTTTCTCTTTTCTCATGAATGGTTAACGTCAAAATTAACATTTTCATTTCCTTCTCTTCGTTTTTACAGCCATGCCATCGCGTCCGCCGCCTCCCTCGCCTCACGCGGCGGTTTCCGCCATCTCGCACCGTCGAGAGATGATTCTCTGCGGGGTAATCGGCGGGGCGCTCTTCTTAACGGCGCTTATTGTCTCTGTCACGGTCTTTCTCTACCGGAAACTTTCTTACAACCGAACGGCGCCGTTTGAGCACAACCAGCGACGTTTCTCTTACTCTGTTCTACGCCGCGCGACGAACTCGTTCTCGCCGTCGACGAAGCTCGGGCACGGCGGGTTCGGTTCGGTTCACAAAGCGACTCTGCCTTCCGGCCAGACTGTGGCGTTGAAGGTTATGGACTCGCCCGGGTCAATCCAGGGGGAGAGAGAGTTCCACAACGAGTTGACGCTGTGTTCGAATCTGAGGTCGCCGTTTGTTATTTCGTTGCTCGGTTTTTCTTCGGACCGGCGCGGTCGGAAGCTGGTTCTGGTTTACGAGCTGATGCCGAACCGGAGTTTGCAGGATGCGTTGCTGGACCGGCGGTGTCCGGAGCTGATGTCTTGGGCGAAGAGGTTTGACATCGCCGTTTCGGTGGCGATGGGGTTGGAGTATTTGCACCACTCGTGTGAGCCTCCGGTGATTCATGGGGATATAAAGCCGAGTAATGTGTTGCTGGATGAGGATTTTGGAGCGAAGATTGGGGATTTTGGGCTTGCTAGGGTTAAGGCGGTGGAGGATCTGGGAATGGTGGAGGAGAAGAAGGAAGGGGTTGTTGAAATTGCGGTCGAGGAGTTTGGGGTGACGGAGGAGGGGGAGAGTGTGAGTGTGGTGGATGTTGACCGGTCGCCGGAGAGTTGTCCTGTGAGGGCTGTCGATTACTCGGACGCGTCCCCGGTAGGGGGTGATAAGTTGAGTGTGGTGTCGGATGGGTGCTTTGAGAGTGTTGATAGTGAGAATGTGAATTTGAACAAGAAGAAGGGTGGTGGTGGTTCAGGGAGGGATTGGTGGTGGAGGCAGGAGAGTGGGGCAGGGGGGGAATCGGGGAGAGTGAAGGATTATGTAATGGAGTGGATCGGGAGTGAGATTAAGAAAGAGAGGCCCAAGAGTGAATGGGTTGATTCGTGTTCATCTTCTTCTCCTAAGGTGGAGAACGAGAATGGGAATGTTAATGGGAATGAGAAAAGTAAAAAGGAGAGGAAGAGGCTGGATTGGTGGGCGTCTCTCGATGAGGAGAAGGTTAAGAGTAAGGTGAAGAAGAATCGGAAGCCGAGGGAGTGGTGGAAGGAGGAGTTTTGTGAGGAGTTGTCTAATAAGAGTAAGATGAAGAAGAGAGGTTTGGAGTGGTGGCAGAGGGAGGAGGAAGGGGTGGAGCAGAAGAAGAAGAGGAAGAGTAAGGGGAGTAGAGGGAGTATTGATTGGTGGTTGGATGGGTTGAGTGGGGAGATAAGGAACAATGGGAGGAGGAACAGCCAGGATTGGGGGATTAGTGGGGATGTGCCGAAGAGTGGTGGGATCAGTAGCACTCCTAGTATGAGGGGGACTGTTTGTTACATTGCTCCTGAGTATGGTGGAGGAGGGCAATTGTCTGAAAAGTGTGATGTGTACAGTTTTGGGGTTCTGCTTTTGGTTCTGGTGGCGGGGAGGCGGCCGCTGCAGGTGACCGCATCGCCGATTTCTGAGTTTGAGAGGGCCAATTTGATTTCCTGGGCCAGGCAGCTTGCTCACAATGGGAGGCTTTTAGATCTTGTTGACACTTCTATTCATTCATTGGATAAGGAGCAGGCGCTGCTCTGCATCACCATAGCCTTGTTGTGTTTGCAGAGGTGCCCAGGGAAGAGGCCTTCCATGAAGGAGGTTGTGGGAATGCTCAATGGGGAAGCTGATCCACCACATTTACCGTTCGAATTCTCACCGTCACCGCCGTCAAATTTCCTGTTCAAGGGACGGAAGAAGGCTCGGTGAGTGTGTGTTTATCTGTGAATCAGTGGGTCTGTGGTTGTTCTTGTCATGATCCTTCCTTAACTTGTAAGAGTGTATGGTTTTAGTTTTAGGTAAACTCTAATTGATTTTCTTGATCACCATTTGTAGAGACTAATGCAGAAATGAAAGGGAGAAAATAGCGAGTTACAAGCCTTGTTGCATAATTCATTTCGTCCCTTTCTGTTTTCAGTTTTGTTCTGGGTCTTTCTTTCCATCATATGACTGGTTTATTCTGACCTGGTTCTTGCTTTTTAATCTGAAAGAACTTTTTGGGTGCATGATTCTGGCACGAATACGTGTCTCTGCCTATACAAAGTTGGTGAATTTCAGGAAATTTGGGGTCTCTTAAAGCTGAGGGAACATTTCTTTTACTTTTGAAGCCATTTAGCTTGGCCCCTTTTTAGAGAATATATTTGTCTAGTGCCTTCTGACTGTAACTGTGTAACATTTTCAATTTTCATTACCTTAGTGCCTACAAAGGGCCCAAGGAGATTTATTTATCTTTTTGGTTGTTCGAACTTTATAAAGTTGAATGCACATTTTGCCATTGTTGGTAGTATCGGTTTCAGTTGCTGGGCGAACACATCCTGGCCCCATTCGCGTCTTTTACAAGTAATCATGATGTTACTTTGAGCTAAGTGGAGGCTCCACCGTCCCTGGAAATGAAAGAAGAATAAGATCATTTTTTCATCAGTTTGGACCTACGGCTAGCTTTTCACTCACAAGCTTTAATCCCTTTGGAAGATTTTTATTGAGAAAAAACGTGAAAAAAAATTACATATTAGAAGCAAAGAAATGCATTTTTTTGTTATTGTTAATATTCCATAGCAATTTCTTCTTCCCCAGTTCCCCAATGCTACAGTAGAGATCAAATTTGTCTGAAGTTTTGGGAAAGTTTGCAGCGTCTAATTCCATTTCTGAATGGACTGTTCTCAGTCTCTTTTCTGGGATGACTTGGGATTAAGGATTCAGATACCTGAAATTGCTGCACAAATTGGATAGCACATTTTTCATATGGTAAATAGTTATTGTGCAATAGTTATCAGTCAAATTGCATAATATATGGAAAATATTTTAATTTAGTGTAGTTAATTGAAGAATTAATGAGATAAATTTAGGAAGGTATAAAGTTCTAGTTTTTAGTTTTTCTAGATTTAAAGGTCTTATCAATATCAGTTCTCTTTTAGTTTCTTACATGTTAGTTTTAATATTTTATAGTCTTTATTGTCTAAAGTCAAAGGAACTAAATAAGAAAATAGTGTGGATAAAGACTAAAGTAAGCATTTGTAACTGTGATGAAAAAGGTAACTTTTGTTTAATAATGGTGACCGAACCAGATATTTTACCATTTAGGACTGATGATGTGAAATCCATCCCGAAAAAGGAACTGGAATGGTGCTTTAAATTGGACTGGCTTTTCTTTTCACTACAATTGGCAGGCAGAGAATTTGGAATTTTTGTGATTACTGCAAAATGCATCTTCTTTTTGCTTCTTGATAAACGTTCAAGAGTTGAAATAATCAACCTCATCTAATATTTAACAATCCGTTCCATGTAGCTTTTTTGAGTAGTCTAACTTAACCTTTCACAAGAACATCCATTCTTAAGTTATGGTTACTTGTGGATCAAATATGTTGTAGCTATGAGTGTAATGATATTGGTATTGACATGATAAGCTGAACTGCAAATTTTGTACTTTGGTTTCAACAAAACCATGTGGTGAAGAGGGAAAATGGTGGGAGGATGACAGATAAAAAGAGGTACTATCTTCTCATTTTTGGATTTATATCTTTGGACTCTCAGCCTAACTTGCATTCCTTCTAAAGCTTCACTTCTGCCATGTTGAGAGCCATTAAGCCAATGAAAAGCTGAAATAGTGACAGGACATGGGTAATCATACTGAAGTAGGCGTGACTAACAGAGCCTTCAGGTATTCATTAAAGGATAACAAAAAAACAATTTAATGAAAATTAGTAACCTAGCTCTATAATGTATGTGGTAAATGCAATTTTAATATAATTGGAATTTATAATAAATAAAAATTTCTAAATATATGTATTATATAGTCAATAAAATTACAAGAAATAAATGTTTTTGATATATATGAATATGAATAACAATCAAATGGGTATTTTCTGAATCCATTTCTGTTTTCACAGATAATCTTCCTATTGAGTGGCTATAAGTATGGATAAGATGATGTGTATGTACATGTGTCCAATTTCCGTTTTGATAGTTGTTTTAATATTTATTCTCGTTATGGTTTTTGTTTTCGTTTAAATAATTAAAATATTTTTAAATAATCTAATATTATAATTTTTAATATATATTATACTTAGTTTTAATTTTATATTTTTTTCTTTTGGTTATATTTTTTTTCATTTTTTTAATTATTGGATTTAACATAAAATCAATTTACATTTTCAAAATATTTTTAATAATCTTTATGTTTAAGTGATAGTTATCTTTAAATGATGTATGTGAGATCCACGAAAGTAATAATATATGTCAATNATACACTCCGTATAAATATTATGAAAATAAACATGTAATACACTTATTACATAAATTAATCCGAGATGAAGTAAAATCTACACTCCTGAGTGCATAATTTATTTTTTCTATGGTTTTTAACAAAATACAGTATTTGTTTTATTTTTAATTAATTAATATCTTAGCGAATGAATAGGGGTGTGTGTGGAACATGGTTGGTGCATGAGGCACGTGACAAGAGATCACGTTCGCCACGCCCACGCGCACTTCCTGTGCTCGTGTTTACACTCCAAAGGAGATTTACTCGCTTTTCAACGGGATTTTCTCGTTGACTTTTCTTCTGTCATCAAAAGCAACACAAGTTCCAGTAACATCATCATTCAACATTATTTTTCTTTTATCTTTTTACAACCATAAATTCATTTTATTTATTTATATTTTAATTTCTCACAAATCCTATATTCCCAAATTGCCAAAATAGACCAAATCAAATTAATTTAAAAATGCAATGTAAAAAATATTTAAATTGAAAAAACATCAGAATAATAAAAAGGCTGGGGCACGTGTCATTTCATTATTTGAAAAATGTACTAAAAACTGTATTTTAAAAAAAAATCTATTTAAATCTAATATATGCAGTTCAACTTAATTACTGTCAGGTTTCCTAATAATATATTTTTAATTATAAAATTGATGAGTGGTATTTCTTTCTCTAGAACATAATGTGAATAATTTAAAACATTTAATAGAAAAATGAAGATATTAACCACTCATAATCTCAAATAACAGTTGATAATTTGGTCTCTTAATTAAGCATTAATATAACGTTCCCTATGGCTTTGCCTTCTTCTTTAATATCTTTAATTATGACACTAACACACCAACTAAGCATAATAAAATAACATATTTATCGTATAATTTAAAAAAAAAATAATCAAGAGAGAGAAGGAGAAGTAATTCAAAAGGACAAAAACACACCCATTTTAAGTTAAATTATTTAAAAATTAATAAGTAATTATTTCTTTTCAATTTTTTACAATTTATTGCACAATGTAACATGTTGGACAGATGATTAATTAAATGTGGAACCTAAAAGTTTGTACATTTTAAAAAAGACATCTGTTGTATATGAAAAAAGATTTATTAAGACAGATAAACAGAAATTAATGATTTGGTTGTTTGAATGAACAGCAAAAGTATTTTAAGCCGTGTTTGTTTAGATTTTTACCAATTTTGGTAAAATATGTCTACAGCATTTTTTAATAGACAGGTCCACAAGCACAGTGGCACAGTGCAACTCCCTCCAAACAGAGCACTTATGAAAGGTTTGAACTTTTTTTCTCCAACTTTCTTCAATAGTTTAACTATCACCCTCACTCACCTTCTAATACTTTATTAATATTAGGAAAAAGGAAAAGAAAAGGGAATCTCAAGATAATTTTATTTTTTATTATTATTCATCAAAAGCAACCCTTTATTTATTTATTTATTATTTGTTTATTTAAATATTTATTTATTTCATTTATCTATCACAATATTGGTTGGCCAAGGGAACAAAATAAGTCACTCCTCACTGCTACTTCTTCTTCTCAACACAAAAGAAAATTCATCTGTTCACTTTCTCTTTCTCTTTTCTCATGAATGGTTAACGTCAAAATTAACATTTTCATTTCCTTCTCTTCGTTTTTACAGCCATGCCATCGCGTCCGCCGCCACCCTCGCCTCACGCGGCGGTTTCCGCCATCTCGCACCGTCGAGAGATGATTCTCTGCGGGGTAATCGGCGGGGCGCTCTTCTTAACGGCGCTTATTGTCTCTGTCACGGTCTTTCTCTACCGGAAACTTTCTTACAACCGAACGGCGCCGTTTGAGCACAACCAGCGACGTTTCTCTTACTCTGTTCTACGCCGCGCGACGAACTCGTTCTCGCCGTCGACGAAGCTCGGGCACGGCGGGTTCGGTTCGGTTCACAAAGCGACTCTGCCTTCCGGCCAGACTGTGGCGTTGAAGGTTATGGACTCGCCCGGGTCAATCCAGGGGGAGAGAGAGTTCCACAACGAGTTGACGCTGTGTTCGAATCTGAGGTCGCCGTTTGTTATTTCGTTGCTCGGTTTTTCTTCGGACCGGCGCGGTCGGAAGCTGGTTCTGGTTTACGAGCTGATGCCGAACCGGAGTTTGCAGGATGCGTTGCTGGACCGGCGGTGTCCGGAGCTGATGTCTTGGGCGAAGAGGTTTGACATCGCCGTTTCGGTGGCGATGGGGTTGGAGTATTTGCACCACTCGTGTGAGCCTCCGGTGATTCATGGGGATATAAAGCCGAGTAATGTGTTGCTGGATGAGGATTTTGGAGCGAAGATTGGGGATTTTGGGCTTGCTAGGGTTAAGGCGGTGGAGGATCTGGGAATGGTGGAGGAGAAGAAGGAAGGGGTTGTCGAAATTGCGGTCGAGGAGTTTGGGGTGACGGAGGAGGGGGAGAGTGTGAGTGTGGTGGATGTTGACCGGTCGCCGGAGAGTTGTCCTGTGAGGGCTGTCGATTACTCGGACGCGTCCCCGGTAGGGGGTGATAAGTTGAGTGTGGTGTCGGATGGGTGCTTTGAGAGTGTTGATAGTGAGAATGTGAATTTGAACAAGAAGAAGGGTGGTGGTGGTTCAGGG